CTTACTCGGCCGCGTCGACGAAGGACGCGAAGTAATTCCACTGTGCGCTCGCTCGCCTTGTATTCGTGCGCGCTCATTCAGACGCGCAGAGAAGATGCAAATGTGGCCACTCACTCGCGAGTGAGTGTCGTGGCGTGCCACGCGTGGCTCGTGCCGCGTGGAGGTGTAAGTGCACACAGGTGCACTCGGGGGAAAAAAAAGGTCATGCTGACATCTATAGGGCATCCAGCGGCGCCTTCAATAATGGGCGTGCATGAAGCGCCTTCAACAAAACCAGAAAAGAAAAATCAATCCCCCCTTGGTGCCCCGCAATTGCTTTGACTAGCGGAGCCCCCTCCCCCCACACAGCAATAGTTCGTCTATCTCGCCGAACCTCGACATCGCAGCTCCATAACAAAGACAATGACCCCCCCCCCCCACTCCGTATAGCCTTATGAGACCATTGGGGCAAGTGTTGTTAGCGAGCACCCATAAAGGTCGGCACGAAACAGCGAAGGGGCGGGTGGCCATAACCACCTCCGGCCGCCTTTGTCTCCCTAGTTGCGATGTTTACACACCGCACGCAGGTACTCATTTGATGCTGAGTCAACCTCGGGGAGGTCCAGGACCGGTTTAGATAACGGTCACTGGTGTTGGCTACGAGCGGGAATCAAACTCGGGTCGCCAGGTTCGTAGCGCAGCGCGCTAACCGCTACACATCGCTCCATAACACCCCCCCACCCCACAACTTTTCCCATCCCCCAGAAATCCTCACCCTGCTACCAGCAGCATCCTTCCCCCTCCACCCTCACCTCCTCCGCTACCCAGGCCACCTCTGCACCCCCCTCCCTCCCCCACTCCCATCGACATTACCGCACCCTCCGACCGTCGTCCCCTGTACAGCACCTCCCCTTGTGTCGAGCGAGGCGGGCGGTGCGCAATGTGGATGAACGATGGAGGTGGTGGGCTGCTCTGGGGGTACCGGGGGGGTGGTGGTGGGAGAGGGGAGGGAGGTGTCAGCGAGTTAATAACCGGAGGGCAGAGGGGCCCGCGCAGATCGGTGGCCCCTGCCGGCCGCGCATCGCACGGGAGAGGCCGCAGAGAGGGGGTCACCTGCACCGGGCCGCGCGCACAGCTGCCCGAGCGGGTCGGGGGCTACTCCCTCCCGAGGATGGCCGGCGGCCGCGATCCCCGTGCCGTGCCTCCACGCAGACAGAGAATGAATGCTCCTCGTCTCCTTCAACCGCCCCCTCTCATAACCCAGTCGCCAGGCGCTGCGTTTCACGTGTCCCTTGATAGACACACATCAGGTGGAGCAAGCAGACAGCGAGTCGACTATTGCTACATGTTTGTATATATATAGACGTATATATTATATACACGTATATATTATATAGACGTAAATATTATATACACGTATATATTATATACACGTATATATTATATACACGATTGGGGAAAGACAGCGGCGGATCGGAGATGCCTTCATCCAGCAGTGGTTTCGCCATGACGCATGCTGACGAGAGACACACACGTACACACACGCACGCGCGCACACGCACACGCACGCACATACACGCACGCACGCACACACACACGCGCACACACAAACGCACACACACGCGCGCACACACGCACACACACACACGCACGCACACGCACGCACCGCCACGCACACACGCACAGACACGCGTCGTGGCGTGCTTGTGTGCAGGAAGCGCAGCGCGTTTGGACTGAGCGGATATGCGCGCGGAAACTGCACGGCGGAGACCGTCGTTCGTGAAGCAGTGAATCGACACCCGGTGAATCTGGGACGGGAAAACCGCCCCCCCCCACTGCGTAGCATCTGTCATCTGTCTATGCCTCCATTCGTCCTCTCCTGCTCGCTCGCTCGCGCTACTGCCACCGGGCTCGGTCCGTTCGATGGGCAGGTGCGCTCCGAGCCGCCACTCAGCGGCGCTGGGTTTTGGCCGCTACCTGTTGGAGCCATCGCACCTGGCGCCTCGTGCGCGATGTTCCACGCGAGAACGAGCGGGCCCTGCGCGCGAGTTGTGTGTCCGTCTGTGTCCTTCTCAACAAAAAAAGGCCGCGAATTCGTGCCGACATCCGGCCACGACGCGAGTCCATTCGCACCTTCCGCGCAGTGCCACAACGCCGCGCTGGTATGCTACAGTAACACATTGCCCTTGAGCAATCCACTGCTGGATGAGAGCACCACCACGCCGTGGCAGTCGGCATGGTTGAGGATACCTCGCCACGCCGGTCAGTGTGGGCTGCTAAAGGGGCTGTTGATGAGGCGGAGGTGGAGGGGGTTGGTGGGGGGAGGAGGTGGAAGGGCTATGACCGGTTCAGATATTAATCGCCGCCACTGACGTTAGCCGTTGTCGGGAATCGCGCGCTGACCATCGCGTCGCTGCGAGTAGCTGATGGAAGAAGGCACGTGTCTATATTTGATGAGAACCGCAGCGTTAACGGGAACTCATCTAGTCCCGTCACTGCTAAGTTATCCGTAGTGCGTAGTACACGCGGGCCTGACACCGCGCGCACTATATATATGTTTGTGTGTACAGAGCGTGTTGTATAGTACATGCTGTTTATACGCATGATCACATTTTAAACGAACGCTGCTGTAGCTGGAGGCCCGTACGCGTTGATAATTGCGGGTAGTAGGTATTTCTGTTGATGATGTCCACAACGGAATTCTTGTCCGCCCGTGCTGGAACGCGCGGTCAATGAATCGACAGATGACCGTCGTTTGTATCTCCCAGATGTGTGTGTGTGTAGACAACTTCCTTATTCAAATGCAAAGCGCCGGTGTTTAAGCACGTTTCGGCAGCTCGATTCATTGCAATTGCCTTCCATATCCACCCCGTTCTACTTGAGATTCGTTGACGCACCCCTTGGTCAAACGATCCAAAACTCGCATAAGCGAGATGGACATGGCAGCCCTTAAAATTCGCAATAACATGCCACAAATAGTGGTGTAACAAACACGTTCTTATATATGTGACGGGCACAAAATATTCGGAATTTACTTCACGCCTCATTTGATTTATAATCGGAAAATGTGCAGCTTCATAAATAGCGATATAACAAAATGTGCAGCTTCATAAATAGCGATATAACAGTGTTCTGAACTACTGTTATAGGTCGCAAAGTATTGGCGTTTCTTATACCCTTAACGTATATATGTGTGTGTATGTACCTATTCAAATTAATTTTAAAATGCGAAGTTTGTAATAAGTTCCGAATTACAAACGAAAAACGGATTTGTATATAGAAGTGTGCGGCGTATTTAAGGTAACGTGTCCGTAACGTTTCAGAGTTCAAGTCGGATTATACTTCAACGCGTGGGAATCGTGATATGTGTACGCATTATGCACTTACCTGCACAAGATGTACTCAATGTATCTTGCCAGCTGCCTTCGATGTACTGTTTATCATGCCGAATTGGAGATATGCAACATTTACTTTATCTAAATGAATGACATAACCGTAAAAATGTTTTATGTAATGGTCGGGTATGAGTTATCTCAACTATTAGTATTTTACAAACCAAAAATCCTGTGATACTGCGTTGGCAGTGGTGCACTAACATAAATAACAAAATCCCAACATATGCGGCAATTAGAATATTGCCATAAAATGGGTGGAGTGGATCTATGAAAAAATACAACAGCTGACGTTTCGGGCAGTAGCCCTTCCCCTGCGATCATGGCAGTGTTCGTGACGGATGTGTTAACATTTACAAACTATTCTGAGATGGACAAGCCAATTCGCAGACGGTAGAATTCACGCGGTACGAATATTAGTGAATTAGCGTTATCAGTATACTTTACAGTTTTTGGTTGCTTCGTTATTTAAACGAAATTCCCTTTGCCCGTACCATAGGTATATATAAAACGTGCAGGGCGTGCGCGTATGTGTATATACTGCTATGTGTATGTGGATAATTGGGCTTTTTTTGTGTGGAAAAAATATGTTCGTGTTTTGTTGACGACTTGACAATAGCCAGCTTTGCGGTACAGTCTATATGCGTCGTCGCGTGACAGTACTTATATCGGAGATCGCGATGTTACGCTCTGCTGGCATCCGTCCTTGGGAAGCGAGAACACAACCCACGCATCGGATTGAGGGCGATCACTGTGCAAGGAGGGTAGGTAGCTCGTATAAAATAAGACAAATGAATGCACGTAGATTTAATTGTTTTTTTATATATTTATGCGGTTATGTACATTTTTGCCTGAAATTTATGTTGCAATGTATATATAAAAAAAACGAGCGTCGGGTGATGCCACATTTGTCCATTTTGTAACGAGTCGAGGAATAAAACAACTCCCCGCTCTTAACACTTGTCTGTTGTTGTTGTTGATGTTGTTTAAGAGTGTCGCGGTTGGCAAGTGACTGCGTGCGTGTGTGCGTGTGCAGGTGAGACCAGCAATCATTGCGCGTGGCGGAGAATTAGAAACCGCGGCCACACCGCGCACGTGACCCTGCCCCACGTGGGGTCACCCCACACACCCCCCCCCCCTCATACACGCGGACAGAACGGGACCATTGCCCTACTCACTTCTCGTGCTACTCCGTCTCCCCCCTCTCTCTCTCACGAGTTCACATCATCGTCACTGTGGAATATCACGGGGCTTAGGGGGTTGGTGGTCGATTGGAGAGACGATATCGGCGATGAGCTCGCCTTCTCGATGGACTTGACCCTTGTATGAGTGCGCGACAAGAAATGTTCAGACTTACTGCTGAAATTGAAGAGATGGAACTTAGAGATGAAACTTATTGACGGAACGATGGATGGGGCAGGGGTTGGGGGGGTGGGTAGAGGAGGAGGGTGATGGGGTGAGTGGTAGAGTAGGATGGGTGTGGGAGTTCGGTGACAATGTACGTATCACCTCGCATATGTACAACACTGAGGGTTTTTTGTTATATGCACTGTTCACGCGGCGGGGGGGGGGGGGGAGTTGAAAATAAAAACGAGTGAACACGAGAAGGAAGGAACAACACTGCATCCCTACGTACAGCTTCCATATATTTGACACGAACTGTTTGGACACGCACCGGAGACTGGGCCACGAACCGTCGAAGGGGTTAAAATCTCCCACCACGTGCATGTAGCGTCAGCATCATCATGTTAAGCCGCCCCACAGCCAAATAGCTGGCGTGTTCTTGTACGGTCTGTTCAAATACGTGTATGTGTGTGTGTATATATAGGACGCCGATTCCTCGCGAAAGTTACACTTTCTCGGTAAAAGTTCATTGTACACTGATTGTAGTCCTGTATATATACTGCACTTTTACCAAGTGGTGGGGTGTTAGTATGTACAGCGAACAGCAGCAATAAGCATCGCGCGTGCCATTAACCGGGGTGGCTGATTGATTGCTGTTGTTTTTCTTTCTCATTAAAACTCTTTGTCAGGTAAAGGGTGGCTCGTCATATTTTTCTTTATTTTTTTTTTTAAACCATTCGGAAACAAAGCAGCGACTTAAAATTGCACTTCGCCAAAGTCATTCATAATAATAATACAGAGCACTGATGAGGTGGGTCGCGTTGGCCATAACGCTCCCCGTACCTCTTTATTTTTAACTTCCAACGAAACTCGCCACCTCGTTTATCACTCACCCTATACAGTATACACAGTCCGTCGAAGGGGAGTTTGGGGTCAGAGCAACGTTGTATCTCAATATAAATATACGCATATACTGTATATATACACGTGTTTTGGCGCATGTATATATGCACTATATATAAAATAACTATGAATTCGTAAATGAGTTAAGAGCTAATTATAAGTTAAGCGGTGCGTTGGTTTAATTTATTTATTAGCCCCCGGTCGGATATTTCAGCAAACTCTGTGCGATGAAATTAAATACAGTACAGCAGGTTTAATTAATGTTCAGGTGTCATTGAAGCATGGACACGCGAGGTCTGTCTCAACCACGCGTGTGTACGCGCGTTTGTGTTCAAAGCGAATTGAAGCGACACTGGGTTCCATTGCTTTCAGGGCTTAATTTCAACCGGAGTTCTCCGGGGCTGAGCTCCGGAAGATAGTATTTCCCATAGCAGAGGATGAGGGGGGGTAAGAGAGAGTGGGGAGGGGGGGGTCCGGAGCTGAGGGCTCCCCTGGAAAATATTCCTCGAGAAATTAAGCCCTGCACGTTTGTGGACAATGTCGTCTGTAATACAGTATACGGCATTTGCGTGCACCTCCAATAGCCGGGGTCATATGCACCATTGCCAGTGGAACGAAGACGATGTGATGTGTAAATGCGACTGCCCTGGCCGTAAATATGAACTGCAACGCATAATTAAAGGAGAGGGGGTGGGGGGGGGACGGATGTCGGCCGAGGCGACACGGCGAGACGAAACAGATTCCTCTTGAGTTGATTTTAAATGTCCGGGATTAAGTGTTTCGACTAAAACGTTGTTGAGTCTTGTGACCATCAAACACTGGCGCGCGCAGAGATCCACCAGCCCCGGGGCCACCCGAGGACGACGACGACGACGACGACAAGGACGCCGCTGTCTCAGAAGGGAAGCGTATCCAGAAAGAGCTTGTCCAGAATCGGGGGCGGAGGGACCAGGTCTTCGAGCTTGAGGTAAAAGATGCGTTGCAGGCCCTGCGTGCACAGCGTGCGCAGCTCAGGCAGCTTGCCCAGCAGGCGCGACAAGTACGCGGGTCGCCCGGCCGCTGGAGTGCTGAACGCCACGTGGTCCTTGAGGCAATTGACGAGTCTCGTCTGCAGCTCCTCCACCCGCTTGGGCTCCTTGAGGCCGTGGCGCTCTGCACAGGCGGGTTGAGGGGGGGAGAAGGGACGGGGTTGGGGTTAGGGTTGGGCACCGCGTGGACTGCAGAGAGAGAGAGAGGACGGAGGGAGAACCACACCCCCAGTCCACGCGACCTACATCGCCACCACCACGCAAGACTCGTGATGGAATTGAGAACGAGCGGGGACTTTTTGCTTCGAAGGTGACTAATAAGAGATGAAGGAGCTATGTTGGCGTTGGTGCAACATCACACGTAAATGTACATTTTCACGACAATTAATTTCGCGAAAACTAATTTCAGCTTGTTTTGCATGTCAAGATGTCATCACCATCATTGCAAATACAAACACGGAGTTGTGATTGCATTGCAAAAACAAGTGAGCTGCAGAAGAACGGCGGGTTTTCACGATAATGAGGACTCATCAGTACAGAATATCCACCAATGGCTAATGCTTCTATTGTGTTGTGTTGGTAGGTTCTGCTGTTGAGGACGGTTATTTCCGTAGCTTATCACTTGTTTCTGGACTGCAAGCATTTCTCTGACTGCTGAATTGCACCTTAGAAAGTGCTTGAATTGCAATAATTAACAAACTCAAAACGATCGTAATTAACTGCTGGAAAAGTTTTGATTTAAAGCTTTCGTGACTGCAGTGATTCATATTCTTAGTTCTTTCGGTAAAGTCACGTTTAAGGGAAACAATCAAATAAAATAATAAAATATATATTTTAAAAGTGTTCGGTCAATTGGCATTTTCTTTTCGTGTAGAGACGGGAGCGGCCAGTTCGGACTACTTGTGATGCATACAAAAAAACCATCACGTTAACATGTGCACTGCATTGAAGCAACCACCGGGTGCGCACGTGGTCCAGGAGGCTGAATTTGCATTCGATTGGAGAAGATCGGCAAACACGACGAATACTGAACCGCGCTAGAAGGAAGAGCGCTGGCCCGATTGGAGCCGAGAGGCGGTGCAGAGTGGGTGGGCAATGAAGGGAGATGATTAATGGAGCGGTGGGAATCTCTGGGCTCCGTGTGAACCGTTGCGTGTGAGCCCATGTGGGCTCACCGTCGCATAAACAGTAGCTCATTCAATCTGCGAGGTCCACCGTGAGTGTTACGTTTGGCTAGACGTCTCCATTGTTCTATGTTCTCAATACCGTCCGCGTCAAGGGTGGCTCACCATTGCAGGACAAGAGGAACGATGTGGGGTGTTTTATTGATTTACCTTTTCACCTGGATGAAGTTAGACACACCTGGCGTGCATTATGAGTATAAACACACACGTTGTTTAGGAGCTCTGGTCTCACAAACGAGACCCGCGATTTGCCATTGAGAATCAACGACAAAAACCCCACACCCCTCCCCCACCCTACCCCCCCCCCCCCCACCCCCATGTCATTACACCTCGGCGTGTGTTATTTGCCGAACAACAGCTGTGCGCGACGTGAAAATCATGCACAACTGGTTTTGCATATTTAATGTCGAGGCTACTACTGGCCAATTATGATAAGCCTAATCACAATTATCGTCATCCTCATGGTCATCAGCGAGGCGAGCAGCAGTCATCCATTGTTTTACCCATTGCTCCATAAAGGACTAACCATCCACACGTAAGCCACAATCTCTCACCACCGGAGACAAGTTTCACACGAGAACTTCATTGTGGGTGCCTACGTGTTTGTCTCGCGATTAGACTGTGCGCCTATTACACGAAGAATGTGCGGTGCTGTACATCGATGTTGCAGGAGCCACTTTATCAATGCATTGCTGGATGAGCGGCTCTCCACGCCGTTGCTGGCCGTCTGGGGTTAATTGACCGTAAATTCACCACCACGCTTTGTCAATGCGGGTTGGTGAGGAAGGGAAATCGAGAAGTACATTGCAAATGATGCCCGTTATTGCACTGCCCCCCCCCCCACCCCTGCATCCCACCACGTCGACAACCTCCTGTGTCGAGGAGCTCACCCATCCAAGCACTCGCCTCCCATGAGCGCGTTTGGCTACGTTACGGTGCGAAAGAAGTTTAACATACGTGCATACATAGGGTCCCTGTCCTGCTTAGCTTCCGAGCTCTTACGAGATCGAGCCCATCCCGGGTGATTTTGGTCATGGCCCATGGGACATGTATTGTAGGGGCATACCACGAATTGAAAGTCCTCTGATATCAGTCATAGCGAATGAGTAGTGACCACCAACAAACACGTGACCACTGACAAAAAGACTTGTGACGTCATGTGTGTACGCGCACTATTGGTGTGACGCCGTGTTGTGCTGGGCGTGGCCTCATTGGTCGTCGGTCGTCCGATCTTAATAATTTGAGCACGGGGAATGTATAGCCCGGTATAATTGTAAAGCATGTTGTGAAATGATTGCTCATTGGTTCGTCGTCCATTTGCATACGAAACCGACGAGCCAAGTTGATTCTCGTCCACAGCTGACATCAGTGGCTTCGCGCCCCATCGCCACCCCCGACCAACTAAAACCACCCACTCGCTCGTCCACCAACTCACAGTGACCAGTGCAGTGAAACATGCTCAAACAATACCCCTGACCGGCACGGTGTGTGGGGGGGCATCATCTTGCAGTGCATTGAGAGAGAGAGGGAGAGGGGCTGAACATAATGCGCGATGAGCGGGAGCCCCAACGTGTTTAGACTCCTCCGTTAACAACTTTAACGATCACTTAACACACAAGGCCAATGCCACTACAGCTTAATTGGTGGCCAGCTGCAGTGTTGCTCAATAAGTATCAAAAGATGGGCACATTTTACCCGGAGGGTCACAGCCCGCGAAGACCAGCAATTTATTTAGTAAGCATTTAATATTGCTTAGCTTGCGTATCTATACAATGACGAAACAGTCGGAAAGACAGTACAGACTGCTGTGTCACGTTGCCTAGAATTCCAACGCGTGCATTTATTTATTTACACGGGCGACGATTTGGCTGGAATGCAGTTTTCACACCTAAGGCTCTTGACCGCGTAGATAAATTGACATTGCGAGTATCACCTGGACATGTGTTCACCCAGGTGATAACCTGGCGAGGGATCAATTAGAATGATTCAATTGCACAGGATACTGCGGTGAGCCGAACTCGTGGCCGCTAATTTCATTCGCACAGTAACGCAACCGATGGCGCCCTCGTCAACATTCTTCTGTTCGTGGATCTCAAGAGAAGGAAAGGAACGCTCTTGAGGAAGGTGGGGGGGGGATCACCTACGCAGAGATGGAGCGGTGACGCCAACGCACGTGCGGTTGTGACGTGAGATGACCGGCACCGGCACACGACTGTGGACAGTGGCGTCGGCACGGATGTATTTAATATATAAAGGGCAGCATGGGATTTGAGAATGGATCGTGCTGGATGATCAAGCCCTGATTTTGCGTGGAGCCTAAACGATATCCTAATATTCGCTTACTGCTTAATACCGAATTGCAAAGGATAGAATTAAGATGCCATTTATGTACGGCCACTTTATCTATTAGGCAACAATAATCACGACAAACAAAACACCTCCCAAACAAGCCGATCAAAATAGATGCGTCCCGCAATACCTGCTCCGTGCACAAACAACGTAAGCTTACGTTTTTACGCGCTTATAAATAAAATGCGACTGCGAGCGGCGACAAGGCTAAATAAAAATCGGGTATGCGGAATGATATCCGAATTTGTTTTTATGTTGTGTTGTTTTTTTTTTAACTCACGCCCAGCACACAATAAGTCATTTGACCAAACGCTACGAGACGGTAAACACGCAGCAGCAGCAGCAACAACAGTATATAGATATCAACTGAATGATAATACAATGGTGCAGCCCAGGAAACAAATTGGTAGTAATTATGTTTGTAACAAATTTGAGCGCTTCATAAATATTCATGGCGAGCAGGGTCCCGGCAGGATAGTGAAAAGCACAAACAAAAGTCGCGAATGAGCTGCGGCTCGCCTCGCCTGGGGACTGCGCGACCCACATTACCGCAATTCGTACATTAGCATGCCATTAATTTACAATTACATTCTCCACGGCGACTGTCGAGATATTTGACCGAGTGTGTTTAACTTCGTCTTCAATTACGAGCGATGCAAGGTCGCCAAAAAATGTCGGGAAATGCCACAATATGAGGCTTGCCGGGATCATTAGGCATGTGCAGTGGATATTGTAGAAGAAGGCGAGTGAGATGGTTTTTAAACTCTCCGCCTGCTCGCATCCTCTGTAGGCGGTGCCCCCCCCCCCCCTAATTAGCGCGGCGCGAACGCGCTCCGAGTTCAGGCCACCGCGGCCGCACGGATTGAGTCATTAGTTTGCGAATTGTTTTAAATACTTAAAGATTGTTTAATGACACTTTTCCGAATGATTGCTCGCTGCCAGCACCCTAGGCTACCGCTAACCTATAGCTGCATCCGTCCCCCCCTCCCCTCGGGCCCATCATCCCCTCCGACCCCCCCCCCCCCTCCGCTATTTAACGCGTATCGAATGTAAATGATCCTGCCTCGCTCGCGAGGATGATGGAAATCGGCTCGGCTCTTTTCGCCCTTAGGCTCGCCGTCGTTCCCGAACGTATTTGGGAGTCAATATCACCGTGGCCATGAAAAAAATACAAATAAAAGGTATGTAAGAGGCGACGTGTCGGGTAATGACCCTTTCTCAAAGCGCGTAGAGAGATCAGAGAGGTAGAGCGATCTTGACTTAAAGCTTTCGTAACTGCAGGAATTCATATTCTGTGTCTTTCGGTAAAGTCACGTAGATAGGTTCAAAGAAAATAACAACAATAAGAAAATACTACGACGTTTCGATCTCTTGCGTTGCAATCGAAACGTCGTAGTTTTTTGTTATTTTTTGTTATTTTCTTTGAACCTATCTACGTGACTTTACCGAAAGACCCAAAGAATAGGTCGAGTGATTATATGAACTTTATTTTTAAGGCAGCGTTGATTTTGTTATTCGTGCTCGTGCACCACCGCCACCTCAGGCAGCAGCGGCATCACTGGCAAATAATTCCATGTAGGATCGGCGCATTTGATTGGCTTCGTTTGCGGTTCTCGTACAGGGCCGTGCCAACGCCAAGCACCACGGCAGTGCCTCGTGGGGTTGTCTTAGAGACGTCACCCATGCTGGTGGGGAGAAACGCGGCTTGCTACCCACACGGCAAATATAAACCACGTTGGTACGGTTATGCTGTCCATCTACTCGACTATACAATGCCGCCGTTGCTCGATCCGCAGTTAGCCAGAGGTGCACGTGGGCTATACCAATGCAGCATTTCCATTACGTGACAATAGTGTGTGTGTGTGAAGTGTGCAGGACAATACACACGACACGCATTTGCGTTATTAACACAGTGTAGTGTGCAACGGTGTACGTAGAGTATAGCACACCCAGAATATATTACGTGCATTTATAATTATCATTGGTTAGGGTCATCGGTAAGATCTATCGTGTGTTGATTGATATTCCATCGAGGGATGGTAAGGGATGACGGCTACTTTGAAGGTCTTCATCCAAGACGGTATTGACCATAGCTGATGACGACGGTGATGATGACGGCGTGTGTAGATGTGTACATTTGCCCATGTCGATCTGCACTTAACCCCGCACCTCTGCGTGGTGTTGTGACGCACACCCACCTGTGACCATGACGAGAGCCGTCAAGCAAGAGAAGGCTGAAATGTCCACGTTCAACTCCTGCAGGCTGGCAGAGAACTCCAGGATTGCGTCCAACCAGTCCCCGAATCCTCGTAAGCATTGCAGTCGGTGCATCACCACCGCCGTTGCAAAAGGATCAGCTTTCCCTCGGCAGGGTTCGATCTGTACGGCACATGACGGCGCAGGAGGCATTGCGTGGTCACACTGATAGCAATTATTATTAGTATATGTGCCATTTGATGATAGGCCAGGAAAGTCTCACCGAGTCTTGAAATTATTTAAATAAGATCTTGCATTTGGGTGCTTAGCCAATTGAACTAATGAATGATTTGATACGTGGGAGGAAACTGGAGTACCCACAACGCACGGGAGGGGATAACACCTATTATTACATTCAATCAACTTGCTGCACTGCCATGTATTTGATCGCATTGCCGCCCAGCTGCCTTTGGAGATTTAGGAAGGCGCGTGGTCCATCAGCTGTAGTCGCCAGTGCACGCATCGCATGCATGCGCCATCGCGCCAGGGACATTTGTACTTTCTAATACACCTGTACGCGAGACTACGCTGCCAGGTGTCCTGAAAGCTGACATTATAGACTGTGATATAATTGTGTGAGCCGTTGTTTTATTCAGAAGCCATAGCACCAACTCAAGACTGCGCTTGGAACTTGCCCACAACTACACGGAGAGAACGTCCCTTGAGTAGCGACGGTGTTTTAAACGGTTCACAGCGGTTTTTTTTTAAAAGTAAAATACAGTTACCCCAGATCCTCCCTATAACAGAGAAAGTTGATTCAAAGGTATGTCATCTACTTGCAAGAGATACCTATCTGATAGTCGACAGTAACGACAGAGTGGCAGCCAATAACTTTCTGACGGATTTATCCAGGATAAAGATTCTAATTTAACAAAAAAGATTCTGAGAGAATGCACCTTAGAAGACTCTCACGGCGGAGATGGAGTGATGCTGAGTGGATTGTTCTTTTACATCACCGTGAGAGATTCCACGGCTTGGGGGAGGCCTTCATCCAGCAGTGGATTGCTCATGTATAATTATGATGCTATAGCAGCCTACATATCCACCTACCTACACAGATCTCACTCGCAATGGAGACAGAAAAATATACGGAACTCTTGACTGGCTAAAGACAGGTAATCTGTAACCTAATAACGTTTTACGAGGGTCCACGCAAAGTTTGTAGTTATGAGTTGATGCAACTCCCTCTAGGCTTTTGCATTTACATTTGGCAGGAGTGTGGGAGGGGGGGAGAGTGACGGGGGGGGGGGGGGGGGGGATGGGGGGTACACAGTAAATTATGACAGAGAGTCCATGAACCCGTCTACCGAGGAGCTGGAGTGCATGATTAAATCAGTCCATATGCATGCAGTTGGGTTCGAGATTAATTTTTATTTCCATCGCAGGATCGTGAGAGGTGGCGACGACTTGGTAAGGAGGGGGGTGTAGGCTTTATTCAGCAGTGTATTGAGCATAGTTGCTGCTGCTAACGATGATGATGATGGTGATGGAGGTGGTGCCACTATACCTGTACGCGAGTCTGAGCACGAAGAGCTCCAGGAAGGCGGCCTCGAAGAGCAATTCGCGGTCATCGCGGAGCAGCTTCGGCCACACCCAGGGAGCTTGTCGACCCAGCTGCGGATCACGTCCATGCAGCCCGTGAGCAGCTCGTAGAACTGCTGCACGCTCTCCGCGTCCGTGGCTCCCGTCTGGAACTCGCCTGCCGACTGGAACTGCGTCGGGTTTCGAACGGATCGAGACAGAGAGGGGACGGAGGGAGGGAGGGAGGGAGGGAGGGAGGGAGGGAGGGAGGGAGGGAGGGAGGGAGGGAGGGAGGGAGGGAGGGAGGGAGGAGGGAG